TAACAGATCCTGGAAATATTTTGTATTATCTGTTCTACACAGGAAGACAATGGGTTGCTGACCCTCTGGCTGTGGTCATTTCTCCTTTATCAAAGTGCACAGTCATGAAGACAGCAGGGCACATAAAGTCAGAAATCTCAAGGAGTGTAAAGGTTGGGCTTTGGAGTCAGATTGACATGAGTTCAAATCCTGACTCTCCCTGTTAGGGAGACTGTAGGCAAGTTCATTAAGCCCTCTGAGTTGGTTTTCTCATAAATAAGTGGGGGACACTACGTATTTTCCTTGCTTAAGTGGTTGACGGCTGTTGATGTATATAAGAGACCTGCATACATGTAGGTGCTCGATATATGGACCTTACATTATTTGTATTGCTAGTACTAGCAAAGAGCAAAAATGTCCTCTGGTTAATACAAAGGAGTTGTAAAAAATGAGCTACAAGCAGATTTATCAAATGACAGGAGGATGACTTTTCCTGTCTCCTGGGAAAAAGTGAGTTGTAAATAGTAGGACTAACTTGGACAAAGGGAGACAAAGAAAGCCAGTGTGGTAGGGAGAACTCCGAGACTGCAGACAGTACTGCTGAAGAGACTTCAAGGGTCCAGAAGAGAAAGTTCGTCCCTTTTCTAAGGGAGAATCTGGTTGAGTTTGTGGGGCACTTCTGTCCCAGCCACAGGGTAGCTTCTACACCTGAGCCTGGGCCATTTAACCCCTGGCCTGCTGCTCTGCTACGAGGTGGAGGAACTTGAAGGGGCTCAAATTCGGCTCAGCCATGCAGCTTTTTGGAGGCATTGGGATGTCCATCTAAGTCCCCTGGTTTGCAAACCAAGTGGCTGCCTTCCTCCCAGAAAGTGAGAGCTGAGGGTCCTGATCACTTAGGCAGCTCAGGCATAGTGGGGAGTCCTTGACAGTTCGAGCACCAAAAGAAAGATAAACAGAGCATAAGAAGGAGATGAGGGACAGATGTCACTTTAGAATTTTAGTCTACTTTCCAGCCACACAAAGTGCAGATGGTCTGCCTTCTCCCCGCTTTCCCGGCCCCTCGCCCTGAGGCGCCCCCTTCCCCGCCCTCTGGCACTGGAGGGAGCATGCCCCTATTGCATTTGAGCTTCACAGCAATGGAGAGGTGTGGACAGAAAACAGATACAGAGAAAGCCAAGAAATGAAATTGCCCAAGGTCATAAATTGGCCAGGACAGCTCTCAAACGCAGATCCCTGACTCCAATCCTGTGTTTTCTCTTAAACAGAGCCGCCTCAGCAGCAGTCATGTTGCCAAGGCAACGGGAATTCCAGCGGCCTGGCTTAGAGTGAAAAGTCCAATCTGTCCCCTTGCCATTGGCTAGTTAAGCATCAGGGTAACCCCCCACTTTGGAACTCCTCAGGGTCATCCGAATCACACATCCTATGGCTTCCCTCACTACTTGACCTTGCAGACGGCTCTGGTTTCTGAACTGTGTGCCCAGAGGCAGTCTTCCAGAACTCTGACAGCCACTGCAGAGGAGAAACTCACACTCCAGTAGTCTAACACCAGCGTCAAAGTCAGAGTTATTTTCCATTTTACAAGCAATAGTTTAATGTGCATGATTCCTGCTCACAACTTGTATTAAAGTTCTCAAGTTTGCAGTGGTAGTCTCAAGTCTAAGAACTCTGGGTTCATTAGAATAATAGGAAAGCAAGCCTTCTCTTTCTTATCTACAACTGCTGGCGGAGAGAAAACCAACGCTAGGGGTACTCAAACAAGAAGCTTCCTTTTCTTCCTTTCAAGCCCTGGAACACCCATTAGTCTATTTTCCTATTTTCTCATTGTATAAGCCATCTTTAGTTTATAATGAGTTTGGAGTTATTAAGAAGATACTGAATCCCCAGCTGTTGGAGCTAAATTAGAGTACCGAGCCGCTGCGTTTACAGTGAACTGGAGAAAAATGCAGGCTCTCTCCAAAGAACAGGGCGAACGTGCATTTGAATGCTCTCTTGCTACGTTTATCATAATGAGTTTTCTTTCCAAAAAGATAAGACCCAGTTTTCAAGGTGAGGGGGAAACAGCATATCCTGTACTACGGGGCTGCTGCTATTCAGGCCCAGGAAACTGAGCCGACTCAGGGAAACAACCTCAACTCCGGATCTAAATTTAGCTGCAGGTTAAATAAGCAAGGCACACTTTTCATTTTTTTCAAATTGGATCCCTTCTTTTCAAAGCCAGCTCCTGCACACCCTCGTGCATGAGAACCGGGGAAAGCGAACTGCAGTTGACATTCACTTCCAGAGCCAAGGACTCCAGCGTCCTCCTTTCTCAGCAAACGTTTCCCCAGTGGGACTGGTAAGGAGACAAGGGACCACGTTTGGAACCTTGAAAGGCGAGTGGCAGAGACGCGGCCTGACTGGCTGTGGCTCAGCATCACTTGCCCCCACCCCCACATCCGACTTAACTGGTCAGAGTGGAAGCAGGGGTGAGGGACTCAGGCATCAACCTGTTTTAAATTATCCTCAGGCGATTCTAATATGCAGTCGTGATTGACAACCGCTGGTCCAGATGGCCTTCAAGCGGATACCAACGCATTAGAAGGCTTTGACCCATCCTCATTTTAAAAGCTAAGTGATGCCAAAATAACAGTAACACAGAGAAAGGTAAGGGTGGCCAAATCTATATACACCTCTGGGAAGTCTGGGGCGCGAAGGAAGGTTTGAATGAAGGCCCCCAGGTATTCTGTGAGAAATGGGGGAGTCTGGACATTTCAGTATTACAACTCTTGAAGGGAGAGAAGATGAAGAGTGCTCCCCCCTTGGGGAGGCCGGGACTTCAGCAGGCAGCTGGAAAGAGTCAGGGGACATGTCATGGCCCCCCACTTGCCAAGGTATGATCGGTTCATGAAGGGAAAGGAGGGATGGAAAGCAGAGCAGAGTGCCATCCAACCGCCCCCAGGGAGACTCGCCAGGTTCCCAAGCAGATGGACCTGGACGCACCATGATGCTGAAGTTAACACAGCACTGGGTTTGCATCGTGGTTCCATTACTCACTAGCTTTATGACTTTGAGCAAATTACTTATTATTCATTAGCAACTTAGTAAGGCATTATTAGCCCTATTAATGGATGAGAAAACTGAGGCTCAGAGAGACGAGGCCTCCTGGTGTTCACGTCTAGGCAATTTGATACCAAGGGCTCACTCTTTACACTGGCTCACCCCTGGGTCCCCTTCCCAGGAAGCAAAGCTACGGAACCTGAGTGTGAGTGAGGGCAAGTGAAGCCCTTTTTCATTCTGAAAGGTTTGGGATAACTGATAGGAATTTTTTACAATAAGAAAGACAGTGTGTTTTCTTACTTCATCTAGCATTTATGGTTAACATTTCGAACACCATCATAAAGATTAACTAATATTCTAAAGGATTTATGCAATTGGTATGAATCCTGAATGAATTCCTTGTATTTTGCTCTTTCTTGCTCTTTTTTCCCCCGTAGAAACTGCTTAGACCTTGCAAATTTGGCTTCTGGTAATGGAAGACACAGGTCAGTCAAAGCAACGTCATTTACAGGAGGGAATCTCTTCCTCATAAGCACCGCTGAGTCGGGGCTGGGGACTCGGAGAACCATAGTTCACCACTGACCCTGAGCAGGTCACTTTTGCCCTCTGGGCTCAGTTTAATGACTTATGAACTTCAGATGTTACTCGAACTGATTTCTAAGACTATAACACTGCAATTTGAAGAAAAAGCTCTCTAGAGGGATTCTGTTAAAACAGACTCTTATCTCAAAGCACTACTCACTTTGTGTCTTTGCTCACCTGAGATGGTGGAGGTTAGCTGTAAGGGTAGAGAAAACCCAAGTTCCAGGTAGGCGTGACTCCTAGGAGTGGCCTGGTCAACGCCATCAGGTCAGCTGCTGCCATCCGAGTTCTAGGAAGGCTTTTTGGTCTTGTGGGTCTGTCTGGACAGATGTTACCTCATTTAGGAGAAATATGCTGTTCCTTCTCCTCTGAAGCATGCCAGAGGCTTGTGCAAGCCACTCCCAAATTCCAGGTGCTGCTGAGGGTTTGGGCAAAGAACTCAATCCTGGGGTAGATGACTGGTCGGAAGTCAGGGGAGTGGGCTATGATGCAATAAATCGCCTCCAGAGAGGAACAAAACTTCGTCAGAGGGCTGCAGCTGCATCTAGAAGAGCAGAAATGTGGTGAAGCCGATGATGATGATGATGACGGTGATGGCAGACTGTAAGGTAAAGCGATATTATTCTTAAGAGGGCGGACCCAGCCAGCTGAGTATCTGGCACTGGTGGGAGAGGCGGGATGTGGGGATGAGGCCACCCAACATGGCGTACGTCAGAGGCCCACAGGGCACCACGTCACATTCAGCCCGCTGGCTGGGACAGAGCAATGTGGAAACCGATCAGAGGCGGCCTTCTCTCCATGGGACACCGCTGTAGGTTTTATGGACACGCAAATGTGTCATCTTAATATGTTGATGCTGATAAATTGTGGAGGCCTCTAACAACCACCATGTCTTGGTACTGAACACCTGGCTATGGCCTTAAAGTCACAATCCATATTCTGTGCCACTAGTGACAGGGAAGGAGAGTTAGTATTTCTTGGGCCCCTACTATGTATCTGACAGAGCTTGACGTACAACCTCACATATACGCTCAACAACCTTCTGAGATAAATAATATAACCCTTATCTGTATACATGGTAGACTGAGTTTCAGAGAGGTGGGACAATTTGCCCAAGGAGGCTTGAATTCAGCCCACCTTTCCTCCCTCCTATGACGCCTGCCCCAACCAGCGGCCACTCCACACACACTCTCCTCCTTTCCAGGGCAGCCCTACCCACCACCATATCTAGTGTTCTCAACTGCAGTTTCAAACACTTTATTAACTGTATTCTATCCAGAAAAGGCGGGTTAAAGGAAAGGGGTGAGGGGGAGTCTCTTAGTCAGTAAGAAAGAAGTCTGTTAACTAGTTGGTATAAAATAGAAAAAAAAGTTCAAGAGACAGCAGCTTGTGCATCATTTACATACAGCTTTATTAGCGATTAGCTGGAACCACCGAGAACAACCGCAGGCACACGTGCTGCTTTGGGAAGCAGCATGCAGCTCTGGATGCTCTTTTCCACCAAGGAGCGCAGGCCACGGGAGGTGGCTCACACCCAGTGCTGTCCTGCGCTGAGGGCTGTGCTGAAAGTTCTCAAGGCCCGGTGAGTCCCCCTCACGGCCAGAAGGAGTGACCCAGCCTGGGCGTCGTGGCCGGCGTCCCTCAGGTGCCTGGCCAGCTCCTCCGCATCCCAGCGTCCGTGCTGGTGGCTGGCCAAGAGGTGGTCAATGACGCACGGGTAGTAGGGAGTGGAGATACACTTCACCAACAGCTTGGCATCCAGGAGCAGGGACAGAAGTTCTTCATCGCAGTTTGAATCATTCACCTTCAGGAAACAAGACAGGCAGAACGTGAGAGGATGCTTGCTTAGTCCACCGTCTACTGGGCTGTGTGACATGTTGCCTTTTTGTGTTCAGCATCACACATACCTTTGCCCGGTTTAAGAACATCTGCTCCACAAAGCACGCGTGGCACATAAGCTTATCTCTGAGGTCACAGACACGGGAGGACAGACACGCTTTCCTTTTAATATAAGACGTACCAAGAAGCCCACGTGAATCATGCTATGGCTACCATATACTGAGAGCCAGAAACTGTGTTAAACAGTGTACAAGTATCACTCATTGAGCGCTTCCAATTCAACCCGTGAAATTGGCACTTTTACCTCTCGATTTACAGATGAGGAAACTGAGGTGTAAGAACTTTGCTTAACATCGGAGCCCATAGCTGTGGAGCCAGAATCTGAATTTTGGTCAGCCTCGGCTTCAAAGCCTGGCTCTTAACATTTACCATTTCACTGGTACCGTCGCCGCGGTCCGTACTCTTTAACTCCAAATCTCTCTTAGTGCAGAACAACATTTAAAACATCTTTTCAGAACAAGAAAACCTTTTGTCCTACTGCGCTGGCAAAAGAACTCATCCCTCCAGCCCACTGATGTAAACAGGGTAACTGGCTCGGGGGTTTTCAGTTGTTCTTGCCTGAGCCTCCAGGAAGCTCAGACCACCCTTATCTTTTTAAAACGTGTTTTTATAGGTTCTTTTGGCGTGCGTATTCTCTGTGCTATCTTTCTCCTTGGTCTTCTCTTCTATGTATGGTTTTCCAAGGCTTTGATAAGTTTATATTTTTCTAGTTTACATTGTGCATATTTTTGTAGGGACTCAAGTCAATACTGATGACATATCAAAGTTCAGAGTTTCTCGTTTACACTGGGGTATCCTAAAACAGCTTCGTGATAGGTTCTTCTCAATGTCACTGTACACTTCTGATAATTTTGATTCTAGGACTCTCAGAAATAATGTCAAAGACAATTAACTAACGTTTAGACCAACTATGTTATACAATTGTACACGATGTGCTCTTCCTGCATGTTCTGTGACAAGGAAGAGAGGCTACTGAAGACGATAAGGTCAACTGTGTCCACTCGCTACAAAGATTAAAACAAGAGAAGTACTGAGAATAAGAGTTACTGCCCATTGTCAGACAGCGTGACTCTTTCCTACAACCTAGGAATTATTCAAAACCCAATGCAAACATCAGCTCCGATGCCATCTTCTCTAACTTTCTTGGCCAGGTTGATTCCTCCTTCGTCTGTGCTCCCAAGATACCTGGTACACACCCCTTCATGTTGCGTTACAGTAATTATGTGTCTGTTCCCCCTGCTGGACTGGGAGATCCTTGAGGGTACAGAGGTTTTATCATCTTTCTGTTTCAGCATCCAGTTTAATTAACATTTGTTAAATGGCTGAGTGAACCTACATTATTAAACTTTGTCACATTTTTTGTAAACTGCACAAGTACACGATAAAGACCCTATCTCTGCAGAGCATCTGAATAGAGTTAGACTCCAGAATGGAAGAGTCTTTCTGCAAACCTTCAGTGTCTTGTTTTTGGCCTCTAATTTCATGAACACTTGTACATACAACTCACCCTCCTTTGACCCAGGAAGACACTTAGGTTCAACTCAATTTAGCTTTGCTTGTTTGTTTTGTTCTGTTTCCTGCTAGATGGCAGGAAAACCAACTGGTGCAAAAGACTAGCTTCTCTGCTGAGAGGAGCACAAGAGCTTTCACTGCTCACCGGGGCTGCCTACGGGTTCTGTGTGTCTTCGGCTCATCTACCTTCCCCTCTCTTCATACCTAGCAAACAAGAACCTAAACTCCACAGAGCTCCTGCACTCACCATGACAGTGTCTGTGTGACGGACCCTGCCAGGCGCTCTATCTCTAAGCCTTCACACATGCCTTTACAACAGTTTTAACCTCATTCGGTGAGGTCACAGGCGTGTGTAGAATGTCACATGCTGCACCGTAGTGGAGCTGGGCTAGGAGCCCCCATCCTGCCTAATTTACTTGCTTATCATTCCCCTCCAGAACATGAGCCGCTATCTCGTCTCCTCTGCTCACCTCTGCTTTCCTCATGCCCAGAATGGTTGGCCACACGTTAGGAGTTCAGCAAAATTTGTGGAATAAATAATTCCAAAGCTCACATTCTTTCACTCTAGGCTGCCGCCTCCACCCGCGTTTGTTCTCTCTCTCTCTCTCTCTCTCTCTCTCACTCACACACACACACACACACACACATACACACACACACACACACACACACGAGCACGCGCGTTATCTGAGTTACTGTATGTGTTGTTATTTTGGTTCACCCTTAAAAACCAAGAATCCCTCCACCTAACCTTCCGGGAGAGAACAGAGTGTGTGCCAGGATGCTGCAGGCAATCGTTTGATAAAATATATGCATAAAAGGTTCAGAATCCAAACACTGCAGGGTGACACTTTCTTTGTTGCCCTGAGTAAGTTTTCAAGGCTGGGACACCTTTATTATTCCTGCACTTTACTCACTAAGCCTCCCTCAGGGACCTGACAAAATCCTAGAATGGGAGTGATGGATTCTTCCAGCTTGAGGAAGAGACAGGGGGCTGCTGCTCCTCTCGTTCCCTCCTTAGCTTGTGTTTCTCTCCAGTGCAGCGAAATCCTGCAAATCAGTTTCTAGTTGAATATACCCAGCTTTTCAGAAGCTGCCCTTGTCCTGGCAGGGAGAGAGTAAGCGGTGGGGAAGGGCAGAGGAGGCTGACTACTCTCCAAAAGCCCGCTGCTTACCATGCTGCTTACCATCTTGGCTGAGAACACCCACGGCTAAAGTCATCGAAATTAAATGCAATGTTTCCCCTTTGACCCTGGCTCACTCCTGACTCATTCAAAAAAGGCAGAGTCTGAGATTGGTGACCTGCACTGAGCTTGGGCAGTGATCAGGGAAAGGTTTTGGGGGGGATTCTGGTTTGGCTTCTTATAATCAAGTGCTGGGAAAATAGAGTGGCTGACTTTATTTCATTTCCTTTCTCTGACTTTCTACCTGGTTCTGGCTTTGCAAGAAGTACAGAATTGCCAGAGTATACTTTATAATTGTCATTTGCAAGGAAAATAGTGCATAGACAATTATTCTGTGCATATTTGGGACAAAATAGAGAGTAAAAGAATGAAAGAGATGGCCTTTGTAATAACCCATTCCAACAACTGCATTTTAAGCAAGAGTCTGAGGGTCACAGAAGTACAGGTATCCCAAGGTCACGGAGAGCCAAGATGTTCCTCTCCACACACTAGGCCGCCTGTGTCAGGGCACCAAGACCAGACTGAGTCCTCTCCCTCAGCACAGCTGAGTGCAGGGTGCCCCAAAGCATTCTCAGGCACTGTGACATTAGCACCACACTGTTGAGTTGCTGGATTAATTTAAACCTCAAGTTGTCTTCATTTTTCCTGTTTTTGGCTAAAATTCCAACTAAAGGTACTAAAAATCCGGTACTACCTACCACAGAAGCTTGGTACTGTGACCACCCACTATTCATTCTAACCCAATTTATTTTTCTATTTGAAATAAAAAGAGAAAAAGAAAAAAAAAAGTAGAAAGAGCTTGGAAAAGAAAAGTCACCTATATCTGGATCACCACAAGAGAATTATTTTATCCACCTTTCATCTCTAGTAATTGTCCATGTGCATAGATATTTTTCCACAATCGTATGATATTTGTATTCTAATTTTCTATGTTAAGAATTTTAAAAATGTCTTTTACATAGGTTTTCATTCTTAAAAATTTTTTTTTTTTTTTTGAGACAGAGTCTCGCTCTGTCACCTGGGCTACAGTGCCGTGGCATCAGCCTGGCTCACAGCAACCTCAAACTCCTGGGCTCAAGCAATCCTTCTGCCTCAGCCTCCCAAGTAGCTGGGACTACAGGCATGCACCACCATGCCCGGCTAATTTTTTCTATATATTTTTAGTTGTCTGATTAATTTCTTTCTATTTTTAGTAGAGACGGGGTCTCGCTCTTGCTCAGGCTGGTTTCGAACTCCTGAGCTCAAACAATCCGCCTGCCTCGGCCTCCCAGAGTGCTAGGATTACAGGCGTGAGCCGCTGCGCCCGGCCTCATTCTTAAAAATTTTAACGGCTACAAAATGGTTGAATGGATGTTACAAGTTATTTAGCTTCTGCTATAAATATTTCAGCTGTTTTTAGTTATTGAAACACTATAATGAATGATTTTTATGCACATACTTTCTTTTTTATTTAAGTTATTTACATAGGACAAATTACCAGGAGAGGTATTATCGGAGTGTTAGGGCTGAATCGTGTCCCCCGCCCCATATGTTGAAGCCCTAACCCCGGTACCTCAGAATGTGACTGTACTCATGGACAGGGACTTTAAAGAGGCAACTAAGATAAAATGAGGTCATTAGGATGGACTCCAATATAACTGGAGTCCTTATGAGAAGATCAGGACACACACATAAACCAAGGGTCAACCACGTGAGGACACAGACATCTGCAAGCCAAGGAGTGAGACCTTGAAAGAAATCAACCTGCTGACACCTTGATATCAGACTTATCTCCCGGATTGAGAAAAAATAAATTTCTCTTGTTGAAACCACTCAATCTGTGGTGCGTTGTTATGGTAGTCTGAGCAAACTAATACCTTGGGCAAAATATCAGAAACATTTTTAGGCTCTGGATATGAATGTAAGTGCAACTATGTGATAATGTCAAACTGCGCCAGCTTACAGCGGTCATATCAACGTAGGAGTGTGTCAGTTGGTTTTGCCATAAACTTCTCTGCTTTAGGTGAGAAGTAATTTTGGAAAGAAAATCATTTGCAAATTTAGGATATGAATGGTACCTCGAGGCTGCTTTAATTTGAATTTATTTATTTGCAAGAATGATTTTTTCCATACATTTCCTATCATTTTCATTATTTGTTGTAGGGAGGACCAAATCCTTTGACCATTTATTAGAGTTGTCACATCTTTCTTCCACATGTGAAGAGTTCTT